GGGCTCTTTGAACATAGCCGCCACAGGTAAAGGTAATCGATTTTTAAGGAAGATTTGAAAATAGCCACAGCATATTTAGGGAATTAAGAGGAACATTAGTGAAAGGAAAGGGGGGGCGCCTGGGTGGCTCAGTCGTTAAGCGCCTGCCTTCGGCTCAGGTCATGGTCCCAGGGTCCTGGGATCGAGCCCCGCATCGGGCTCCCTGCTCCGCGGGAAGCCTGCTTCTCCCTCTCCTACTCCCCTGCTTGTGTTCCCTCTCTCGCCGTGTCTCTCTCTTGTCAAATAAATAAATAAAATCTTAAAAAAAAAGAAAGGTAACGGGAAAAAATAGGGAGCAGGAGCCTTAAAGTAAGGTCATGGTCAAGAATGAGGAAGATAGAGGGCAGGTCTAGGGCCTACGGAAAAAATGAACCTTGGGGCACCTGGCCGGCTCAGCTGCTGGAGCTACAACTCTTAATCTCGGGGTTATAGGTTTGAGCCCCACGTTGGGTACAGGGATTACTTTAAAAATTAAAAAAGAAAAAATGAGCCTTGGGAAACATGCAAGCAGTTGGTGAAAGAAATGGGATCCTGAGAAGGCAGCACAGGAGCACCATGAGGAGCAGACAGAGCTCAACTCAAGTGAGGCAGTGGCAACTGCTGTCAATAAGACATCCCATTTTCCCGACTCCCCAGAAACACTGAGCAGCCTAGGGTTAGCAAAAGAAGCCAGAAGAGAAAGTTTAGGGATGGCAACTGGCAGAGCAGACAAAGTCAGGCAGGTAAATGGTTCTCAGACCCAGGGAAGGCAGCACTGAAACTGTGGGCCATGGCAAACCGGCATCCAAGCTAAGATGGAGGTGGGTGAAACAGTGGGGAAGAGAAAGGTGGAGAGATGGTGTGGGGGAGACACTGGAACTAGAAAGCACAATGAAGGCAAAGAGCCTGAGCTCAAGTTAGAATCACCCCTAAAGAATTCTTTCCCAAACTTCTTTTTTTTGGTCCAATTTCTATACATCATCACATCAGGAGGAAGATCACTACTAGTGTCAAATATTGCAAAAACCACCTGGTTCCGGGTTTTTCTCTTGAGCACTAAGTGATCTGCTAGGAGGGTGGGGCTCCCTCTAGGTTCCTCCCCCATCCAGCCCTTTAGAATTTCTGGGCTACTGTTAACAGAGCAGATGCTCTACTCCCCGTGTAGAACTGCCTTCTTTGTGTGTACCCTTTACTGGCCTGAAGCCTAAAATAAGGAGTAACTATCCCCCCAAACTGAAGACCTCACAGTATCCTATGAGGACATAAAAGGGGTCCTAAACTTAGGATCAGAAAACTTGGCATCAAGTCCTAATTTCTTCTTCCTGGCTTTGTGCACTTGAAAGTAAGCCACTTCACCTCTTTGTGTTTGCTTCCTCATCTGTAAAATGGAGCAACTTGCATCACAGGGTTGTTGGGAGGGTAAAGTAAAGGAAATGTATACGAAAGTGTTTTATGAACTATAATATGATAGGTGTGCAAGGTATACTTATCATAAAGCAAACATTTTGGCGTTGGTGGTATAGTGTTAGCATAGCTGCCTTCCATAAAGCAAACATTTTCATTTCCGCCCATATACAACTTTCATCAATGGTGTTATAAGACCATAAGTGGGCACTAGTACCGCCAATGTATCTATGCCGGCTGAAATGATCCTTGTTCTTATTGCTTCTAACCTGTATTAAAACAATTTCCTGGGCACCTGGGTGGCTCAGTCGTTAAGCGTCTGCCTTCGGCTCAGGTCATGGTCCCAGGGTCCTGGGATCGAGCCCCGCATCGGGCTCCCTGCTCTGTGGGGAGCCTGCTTCTCCCTCTCCCACTCCCCCTGCTTGTGTTCCCTCTTTCGCTGTGTCTCTCTGTCAAATAAATAAATAAAATCTTTAAAAAAAAAAACAAACAAACAATTTCCTTCTCGGGGGGAAATTGGAGGGGGAGACAAACCATGAGAGACGATGGACTCTGAAAAACAAACTGAGGGTTCTAGAGGGGAGGGGGTGGGAGGATGGGTTAGCCTGGTGATGGGTATTAAAGAGGGCACATTCTGCATGGAGCACTGGGTGTTATCAAAACATCAAAAACTAATGATGTAATGTATGGTGATTAACATAACAATAAAAAGTAAAAAAAAAATTTCCTTCTCAAAAACTCAACATTGCTCACAAAATATCTTCAACTTCACAGTTGCTTGCCATATTTAATGTCTTATACTTTGTTTCAGTTTTCCTTATCTCATATCAATTTTTATCTTTAATCTAACTACAGTTACTTTTCATGTTTTCCTTTTCTGCCGTCTACTATGTTTGTCACCTGCATGAAAGAACAACTGCATTATGTAGGTTTTAATAAGGTTCCTCACACCTGGCCTTCAGTGGGATTCCTATGTGGTCTGATCAATCATGAGAATTAAATCAAAGTAATTTAGATAGTACACTCTCAAGTTATTTTACCACAAAGAACCAAGAGGGTGACTTAATGAATCGGCACAATTCCTTAATTTCTAGTTTAGTAATTCAGAACAGCCTCATAACGAAGAATTAATTCATCAGTTTCAGTGTTAGTACAGTATTAGGCTAAGCAAAGAACTAGTACAGATAATTTCATAGTCACTGAGTTCAAATTCCTGAATAAAATTTGGGCAAATAATCTTGTATCCTGAAAATGGTGATATTGAGCTCAACTCCCAAAGGTCCATCACCAGTAAGTCACAACACCTGGTGTTAAATCCATTACCCACTCCCAGGCTGGCCACTAGTTGTCTGGAGACCTTGTGACCCAAACTGACTAGTCATTCTTCTTCACACATGAGGACAAAGTGCTCACAGCAGTAAATGGCCAAAGTAAGAGCTAGATAATACCAATGAAAAACTTGTATTTCTTCTAAAGCAAACTTTTGCAAGACCCACAGAAAGCAAGTAATAGCCCCCCAACCTGAAACCATGAACATACGGAATTAAGCAACACATTTTCAAGCAAAATACTGCTTTTACCAACCTGGAAGTACAAAGGCAGAAGCACTGTTTCAGCCAGGACCAGAGGCAGCCATAAAATCAGAACTCTCATCACACCACCAACTCCACAAGGAATGACTTCCTGTCACTTCATATCAGAGATCATTCATTTGTTCATCAACAAACATTTACTAAGTAGCTACTCTGTGCCAGAGATGATTAGGTATTAGGATATAAGAATAAACAAGACAAGGTTCTGCTCTCAAGTAGGTCACAACCTAGCATGGAAAACACACAAATATATCAAAAGTTAAGAGTACAGTGAAATTATGGAAGATGCTTGGACATATTGCAATGGCCACACAAAAGAGAGGCATTCAGCTTAATCTAGAAAGAATCAAAGAATCTTTTAAGAGATGGTGGTGTCTTAATTCCTAGTAAATGCAAGCCTAGGAGTCAGAAAATCACTAGAATGGGGAGGAAAATTAGCAGAAGGAATAGCCTGAGCATGCTGGGACCCTCAAGGAGTTCCCTATAACTAGAGCCTCAAGTGCCAGAGGAATTGTGGTAGAGGAGGGACTAGAAAGGCAGACACAGATGAGGCTGGGTCATAAAGGTCCTTGTGAGATGTTGAAATAGAGATATACCAGGATCTAGATGGTCACTGTATTTTAAGGTCAAAAGAATATTATTTACTTTTAACTGGAGTTAAAGACCAGCTGGAATGGAGGGGAGATTTGACTAAGACTGGAAGAGATTTAGGGCCAGTTATTTCTAATCACTTCTTTCTGGTTCATACTTATTTTTCTCTTGACTTTTTTTCCACTCACAGGGAAAAAGTAAAACTGAACAATTCTGTAACAAAGGCTGTGAACCTTCTGTTCATCAAAAACATTTCTGAACAGAGTGCTATATTCTATCAAAATAGCCCAAATTAGAGAGAGATGACAAATCTCTCCAGCATCTGGAGTCTTCCTAGCAAAAAGACAAAACCAGGTCTCTGATAAGACTAAAGCTAGAGAAACATCCCGACCATGGCCTGCACAGAACATCATGCTGCCTGGCATACTCTAGCACTCTGTCAATGGGAATGCTTACAGTTCTCAAAACAAGGACATGCCAAACAGTTACCTCCTGGCTTCTCCATAGAAACTGCCAGGAAAAAACCTACCAGTGCCAGAAATGACCTTGAACTTTATAGTGTGGACTCCTGCCCACCAGTACTAGATAAAGACTACCTCGACAATTCTCTCACCTGTCCAGAGTGCAAACAGGTGGAGAGAGCAGGCTGCCTTCCTCACCAAAGAAACTGAGCCCCTCTCATCCATGCACAGCACCCAGCTATACTCCTACTCTTACTGAGTAGCGCCCCCATTACTACTTCTAACTACACTAACAACTACTAACAGCAACATACTACTACTAATAGCAAGCACTGACCACCCACAAAGCACTACACCTCATCTCCAGTCCTCAATACAATCTGCAGAGAAGGTTATATTAACCCCATTTTACAGATGAAAAAAATAAATAAAATAAAAAACAAGGCTCAGAGAGGTTAACAGCTTGCCCAGATCAAAAAGCAAGCAAAAGATAGAGGTGGGGTGACTCGAAAGTCATGCCCTTCCTATTGTACTAGGCATCTCAGAATTTTCCTAAAGAAAGCAAATATTCTAAGCCTTCTTTTCAAGAGTTTCTGAAGTTGATCCATTTGACTAAGAGGTAATCAAAAACATTTCTTTCATCAATCACTGTTTTCAAAACAACATATGTAAACTAATTTTTATTTTCTTTGATCAAGTGAATATTTTAGATAGAAAATGAAAGGTATTTCAAAGAATTTATTGTATGAATGCCTTGATTTTAAATTTCTTCATTTATTTTTGGCCAAAATATAAACACAGAGAGCAAAAGAATTTCATTCTACTAGATCAGAATGGAGATTAACAATTTAAAATTTTTTTCAAAGATAATTTACATTATATTTTATGCAGTGAATATCAAGAGGCAAGCAATTTCAAATAGACTGAGCCTTACCTCAATCTTATTCCTCCTGTTCTAGGGGACAGCACTCCGAGTGATCAGCAGACACTCCCAGCCTACATACAGTGAACCAGACAAAGGGGGTAAGCAACGCCTTCATGCTCCCAAACCACAGTGGAAAGGAAAGTGTGACGGCTTCCTGGGGAACCCAAGCACATATACAGTATTTATAAATCACTGTTCATCCAGACACACAGAAACAAAATGTTACCTGTGGTTTGTCTACAGAAATACTTAAAGTTAACAGGTGTATTTAAATGAAATGATGCAAAAACAATCCCATACTAACGTGACCACAGTATAGCTAACCTTTTTCACGGAAATATATGAAGATAATCAATTGTCACTAGTCAAAATTAATACTGTATAAAAACTTTATTCAACAGCTTTACTGATTAAAAGCTTGATATACCTGAATCACTTCTTCCTTCACAGATCTATAGCCACTTCTGAACTAAGAACTACTACTAAAATGTCAAAAATATCACCACTGTGGAAATGCCCAACACAGTATCTGGCATAATTCAACAGATATTGGTTTATGGAAGAATTAATGATTTAAAATAGAAAAATTTAAAAGAAAGAGAAAGAATTGAAGGGAAATATATGATTTTTTATAGATTAAGGGGGGAAAAAAAAACCAATCCCCATAACTAAAGCACAATTATAGATAGTCAGAATTACCTCACATTTCACCTGAAAATTTATAGTAGACTCCAGTACACCTTAACACTCTAAATAAACTCAGAAGGTACAATGATTCTGATACTGGTTTTTTGTTTTTGTTTTTGTTTTTTTTCATCTAGAGTTCGATACCTCATCCACAGACAACACACCAACTTTTGTCTGAATGCTACATATAGGGCTCTGGTGCAGAGCTGCAGGCTTCAGAGTTGGGAGTTTGCACACTGCCTTTGAACAATACAGACAAGACACAGTGTACAGACCAAACTTGTTGAAGGTGGATAACACTTCTAGTGAAGATAATGTCCTGTGAGGGCTTAAATGGCAGTCCCTAAGATTTAACAGATTCAACATAATGACTTCATGGCAGTAGGAGAAAATGAAGTTTCATGGATTTGGGGATATGAAGAACATTTAACAACATTAACTGTTAGGGTCTTCACATCCCCCTCTAGAGTTACACACATTCAACAATGACACACAAGTTAGTGAAAACAGGCTCTTAATTTAGATTTATAAGAATTGGACTGAAACCCCCTAGAATTTACATATATTACAGTGTCTAAGTTTGTCTAGCATTACAACCAATAGCCACAGCGCTGAAAAGAAATTATGAGTCACAACTCAAAAACAGGAGGAAAAAAAAAATGAAGAGAAGAAAGCTTTGGATCCAAATACAAACAAATTCTTTGCTTAAAATATTGTCAATGACAGCTACCATTCTGATTCGGAGTGAGAAGGAATGATTTCACACTATGTTCTACTCAGGAACAAACTCCTTCAGCCCCCAAAAGCCCTTCCCAGCCCCGTCCACCTTGGTGCCCAGGCACTGATATAGTCAGCCACATCCACTAACAAGCGCAGGAATTCTAACAGATCTGAGTCACCCACTCCCCCGCAGGAAGAGGTCATTCTCTATCGGGAAGCCCACTCTGCGAAGTTCTCTTGTTCATCCCCCAGGCTGCTACCACCATGGCCCACATAAAGCAGCCTACCAAACTCGGCAGCCTACCAACACTCCTCTACACTCCCCAAATCACAACTCCGGCCTCACCCTAACGCCAAGGTAGCCAACACTACCCACCGTGGCACTCTTGTGACACTCAAGTTTCCTGCCCAAGAACCCCTCACCGCCAGGATGCATTCGGGCCCCGGAGGATCCAGCTCTTTGCTCAATTCCCCTGTGCCCAGCTGAGCTCCTGCCTTTCCAGGAACTAATCACTGGTTACCCCAGAGAAGCTAAACTCTTAGTGCCTCTTCTCCCCAGCCAGACCCCAATCCGCCAAGTTCACAGATCTCGGGAGGCGGGGGGTTGGGAGAAGACACATAAGCGATGCGCCTTAGGGACCAGGCACACTGAGGCCCCTAGATTTCCAAACGTAAGCCCCCCCACACCCACCCCACTATGGTCACCCTTCAGGGCGTCCGCATCAAGCGTCAGGAGCGTACACCACTGGAGTTAAGTCTCCGTGCCCCTATGACTCCCTTTTCTGGCTACGAAGATAACAAAATATAAGCCACCGAGGCCCAGGGTCGAGGCCAAGACCCCCTCCAAGGCTCCGGCCACTGGAGTTTCCCAGTGGGGATCCAGCGCCCCAAGGCCCGGACCGCTGGGACCGGCTTGCTGCCCCAGGCCGCTGAGCGCCATGGGTCCGGGCCGCGTCCCCACTCGGCCCCCATTGTTGCGGGTCCCGGCGGCCCGAGCCGGG